GCAAGCCACATTATATTATAATCAGACTAAAACTGTATTTGAAGTAGCAAATTTGAGAGTAACAGAAATTGCTATCTTTATTAACCAAGGTAATAATGTTCATTGAAGTCAAAAACGGATATAAAGAATTATGTACCTTAGTGTAGTCTACTTGAGTGCCAAGTTATATTGAAATCGTACCAAAACTGTAGGAGGAATAGCATTTTGAAAGAATTTCACAGAAATTTCTATTTTTGGTAACAACGCCAACACCGTTCGTTGAAATCAAAAATCGATACACAGAATTATGTATCTTAGTGTAGTCTACTTGTGTGCCAAGTTATATTGAAGTCAGACCAAAACTGTAGGAGGAGTAGCATTTGGAAAGAATTTCACAGAAATTTCTATTTTTAGTAACAACGCCAACATCGTTCGTTGAAATCAAAAACGGATATACAGAATTATGTAACTTAGTGTAGTCTATTTGTTTGCCAAGTTATATTGAAATCATACCAAAACTGTAGGAGGAGTAGCATTTTGAAAGAATTTCACAGAAATTTCTATTTTTAGTAACAACGCCAACATCGTTCGTTGAAATCAAAAACCGATACACAGAATTATGTATCTTAGTGTAGTCTACTTGTGTGCCAAGTTATATTGAAGTCAGACCAAAACTGTAGGAGGAGTAGCATTTGGAAAGAATTTCACAGAAATTTCTATTTTTAGTAACAACGCCAACACCGTACGTCGAAATCAAAAACCGATACATAGAATTGTGTATCTTAGTGTAATCTACTTATATGCCAAATTATATTGAAATCAGATCAAAACTGTAGGAGGAGTAGCATTTTGAAAAATTGTTTACAGACAGACAGACAGACAGACAGACGGACAGACGGACGGACGCCGGACGCATTACTATCGCATACGCTCTTCTGGTCTCTGACCAGTAGAGCTAAAAAACGGCAACATTTATATTTTTATGACTTTTTATTGATTCTTGGAATATAAAGACATGTTAATAGTTTAGACAACATGCCATGATCACCTTGCATGTGCATGCACGTACATTTGCGTGCAATGCGTTAAATGACAAAAAATTGACATCATTGTAGGTTTTAAAATTCTTTTATGAAGTCCTGCGATACTGAGCATATTAAAAAAAGTTTTAAAGGGAATTGGCACAAAAAGGGAGTTGGGGAGTATTTGGGGAACATCTGTAACAGTCCCCGTTACAATTAGAACTAGTTTGTTTTTTGTTTTTTTTGTTTTGTTTTGTTTTTTTTTTTGGTCGGTCAACTCTTTTTGGAACCCTCCCCCCCCCCCTCCCACCTAGAACTGTTGAAAACCATTGCCAGGTTTAAAATGCCTGCTGTTGATTCTATATGCATGAGTATTGGGGCACGGAACCTGGACCCCCTCCCCCCTTTCAAAATTTGCTGGATCTGCCCCTGCAACGTCTTCATATTATAGCCAATATTTAAAATTTTATAATTACCAAAAGTAATATAGTATAAAAGATGAATTATGGAGATTGTAGAATACTTTCGTAACTTTTTATCATTTATCTCATGCATAACCCGAAATCTCTTTCACTGAATTATCGCATGCATATAGGCAATGTTATTTACTTTGAATATTTGTCAAATAATACACAATTCGAAGTTCAAATTTTGGTGGATAGGATGCACTTGTTGCATACTCATGGTGGATATTAAATTTTCAAGGTTAGTTGAGATTAACACGAATTCTAGTCAGCAAATACTATTTTTAATCAGCGCTTTCGCTCTACCAGCCCTTTCTTCAAAACAAATATTGTCGCTAATCGACAATCATTGCATTTTATGAGAGTGTAAAATAAAAGAAAAATAAATTGCTCATGGAATCACATTCTTATATTCTAATAAAAATATCAATTATTGCCTGAAGCGGGTCAATTTACTACCTGTGTACTGGAATTATTTGTATCGAATGCATAACCGGAAATCGATCTCTTTTGATTGTTATACACATGCAACTGCTGGTTGTGCAACTGATCAATTAGCAGGCGTGAAAAATGCAAATACAGATGTACTCTTATTTTAACTGAACAAGTATTATTTTAACTGAACAAGTAATGTAAAGAACATTTTTTAAGTTAAAATATTTGTATCATTTTAAAAATGAGAGTAGCATGAGTAGGACACAAACTTTTTTTTCATTGCAAAATCAATTTTACATATAAGCTACATTTACATGTATCTCTACCCTTAATTTTTTTGTATTTTGATTGTTCTTTGATTGTACAAGTTAAAACCTTAAGTAGGTAAATATTTCCTTTCTTGATCACCCCACGCATGTTTCGACATTTTGCTGACGAATGTATTCAAAGCAAACAAACCGTCCTAAGCGCAATATTGTCACACATAATTATGTACTGATTAACAGATTAACAAGCACATATAGTAAAATCATTAATTAATTGTTGATTAAACTTTAATTTCCTTCACCTAAGGATACTTTGTGGCAAGTTTGGTTGAAATTGGCCCAGTGGTTCTTAACCCTTTCACATTCAGGCATTTTAGCTACATTTAAAGGCTGAAATAAGATGCTTCCCAAATGAAAATACACACCTAAAGATACATGTATTATATATGAAAACAATTGTCTGGATGTCAAGATTAAAAACATGAAAAAATATTGGGTTGCCAAGGTGACTTTTGCACACTGGTCAGAAAAAGAACACAAATAGCAAAATATTTGTAAAGAAAATAATTGAAAACTTGAACTTAATTCCTTATAGTTTTTGCTGAAAGTTAGAATAGGCAAAACTAACCTGATACACAAATAGCCTCAACATTCAAATTTTCATAAATAGTATATTTTTTATGGTAACCATGGAAACACTTTTTAAATCAATGTTGCTTTGCAACTAGTCCATATAACCAAACTTTGAAATTTTCCAGTTTTTTCCCTAATAATCTTTGTTTTAACATATCATTTAGCAACTATTATCATCAAAATGTTATAATAATATTACTATATTCAAGACGTATATAAGTAGTGCATGAAATATTTATTGTCATTACCATGGAAACAGAAACACATGTCTACAGACCCTCTTTTGAAAATAAATGAAACTCGGTATATTATTGATCTTTAATAATTGTCATTTTTAGTCATTTAAGGACAGATGATACAAACAAAAACATGGATGCCTGGATTGGTATATATTTTTTGGCCAAATTTCATTGAAAATGATGCAAATAATAAATTTCTAGAATATAACGAAATTGTAAACCTTCTATCATGTTCAAAATTCTGCCTATCTGTAATCATCTATAATAATCTATACAAATATTTTTCACTTCAAATCCCATTTTGTGAAAATTTGAATAAAACATTAAAAACAAGAGGCCCATGGGCCACATCGCTCACCTAAGTAACTTGGGTGATGTAGTTCTTTAACAGATTTCCCCTCTTGCTATACTTATCGTGCCCCTACACCCTTCCCTTTTATGATTTTAATACTTTAGAATCTACACTACCCAAGGATGCTTCCACATAAGTTTCAGCTTTCCTGGCCCAGTGGTTTTTGAGGAGAAGATTTTTAAAGATTTGTTCTATATATTTCTATGTAAAACTTGGAATTCCCTATTGTGACCCCGCCCTACCCCCGGGGTTCATGATTTTAACAATTTAATATCTACATTACCCAAGGATGCTTCCACATAAGTTTTAGCTTTCCTGGCCCAGTGGTTTTTGAGGGGAAGATTTTTAAAGATTTGTTCTATATATTTCTATGTAAAACTTGGAATTCCCTATTGTGGCCCTACTCCCGGGGGTCATGATTTTAACAATTTAATATCTATACTACCTAAGGATGCTTCCACATAAGTTTCAGCTTTCCTGCCCAGTGGTTCTTGAGAAGAAGATTTTTAAAGATTTGTTGTATAAATTTCTATGTAAAACGTGGATTCCCTATTGTGGCCCCGCCCTACCACTGGGGATCATGATTTTATCAATTTAATATCTACACTACCCAAGGATGCTACCACATAAGTTTTAGCTTTCCTGGCCCAGTGATTCTTGAGAAGAAGATTTTTTAATGACCCCACCCTATTTTTGTCTTTTCTTGATTATCTCCCCTTGTAAGGGGACTTAAGCTTGGTCCTTCGTTTTAACAATTTAAACTCCTCTTCACCCAAGGATGCTTTGTACAAAGTTTGGTTAAAACTTAAAATTGACCTATTGGTTCTTGAGAAGAAGTCGAAAATGTGAAAAGTTTAAAGACGGACGGACGGACGATGGACAAAATGTGATCAGAAAAGCTCACTTGAGCCTTCGGCTCAGGTGAGCTAACTATGTGGTGAAACTTATTCACTTTACTCATTAAAACATGACTCAAGTTGTTACACAATGGACGATGACGGACGAAAAGGGAATGCTAAACTAAAGATGTCAAAAATGAAAAGTTGAAAATTTCAAAAAATTCCGGAATACAAGGTTCATTAATTTTACGCTTGATTGGTGAATACACCCACAATCTAAACTTTGAGAGAAAAAGAGTAAAAAACAATGAAACAAGTGTAATGGGACCCAGGTCTTGGTTAGATCAGGAGTAAATTTGCTTAGTCATATAGAGAGATAAAATGGGATTGGAGATTCATTTTGAAAGATTGAGAACTTCCAGAGATCGGAGTTCAAGCTATCGAGAGTCACCTGTATGTTATACATAACATTTTCAAGCTCTTTGATGATTGGATTTTTTACGTTACAATAATTTAAAGTCATATGCAATTTTTTAAAATCTTTCATTTTTAAATATTCTAACATGCAGCTTGTTTTTGTAAGAAAACAATTGATTATTATCATAACAGTGGAAAAGGTCATAAGATTTTTAAAAAATCTATTTAAATTATTATTATGAAGATTAAGCTTGTCCTCTCTAGCAGTACTGCAACAGAACCTTCTGACAATAAAAGTCCACATTCTGAACAAAAATTTATAGAAAATATGTTAAAAACTGAATAAACCCTCACCTGTGCAAAGAGGTAAAGCAGTAGCGTTCCAGCTGGCATTTCTGCTTCCCTGTTCTACACACAGGAGAGGTGCAGAAGGAACTGGTTCATATCCTTGACGTATACATTTAAACCTGAGAAGCTCGCCAGCCTCGTAACTCCTCACTACCTGTACAGCTCCCCCTGGTGTACCAGGGTCTGTGCAGCGCCCACCTATTAACATATTTCACAGTGTTAAATATAATTATAAATTTAATGTATCTATGATGATGATTTGCATGCATACAACTTGTGACATTCTCTTTCAACACCACTATTTTTAAAAAATCAGTAGCATATCAGTTGTAGTGGAAATGAGCACAACACAGTTATGATTTTCTTTAATATTTATCCTCTCCTGCACTGGAGGATGAAAAGCTAGGGTAAGGCAGTAATGCAAAAAAGATTTTTTAAAAATCAATAACAAGAGGCCCAGGGGCCACATCACTCACCTGAGTGAACTGCCTTCACTTACAAGAATTGTGCATATACATTTTAGAACATGAAGTTGCTCTATTTTATTCATTTACTTTCATCATGGTGATTGGGCTTGATTTGAGTATCAAATTACTAAGAATGGTTTTCTTTTCAACCAGTGTTTAATGCGTATCCAGGGAATTATCAGTACCTTCTCAGGGGCTGAAATTCGGCCCCATTCCCAATTGAAAATGAGTTCAATCTTTCCCAATTTGGTAGTAATTTTTCCTAATTGCAGAACAATGCTCTTTTTATTAAATTATCTTGGAAAAACACAAAGTTAATTTGCCAGATTGTCTGTATTTTTACTCAGTTTAACTCATTTAGCAAAGCTACAGTCATAACACATGTTTAAAAACATCACCATTTTTTAATCCGAATTTCCTCAGTTTTTTTTCTGAAGTAGTGATATTTAGTAATTCTATAGGTTTATTAACTCATTTTCACTTACTCAGCTGATCTACAAGTGAATGGTAAGAACTGTAGGCATTATTTCAGATAGAAAAATATATATTTTAATGCACATTTTAGGAAATGTGTATGCAGTATAATTTTTGCAGGAGGTTTATAGCTCCCATGACCTAAATTGGAAACTCATTCACAAGTATACTAACCTATGTTGTAAAATATTTAATACTCATTGAATTCAAATTTACTTTTATTAGTCTATTATTCATAATTGATCTTGTTTGATGAAACTGGATCATTTAATCGCTGTTTGGTAGCCCAAATTTTAGCTGAAACCTGTTAATTGCACCTGAAATGGCTGAATACATGACTTAGGCAACATACTTATTTTTCCCAACTTCATCAAAAAGTCGATAACTTTTTCGCAATATCCAAAAAATGGTGTTTCCCAAAATAGTCTGATAAATCCCTGTTGTCTGAGTCTCGATTTACTCATAACAAGGTCAATCTTGGTATTTGTGCAAATTAATATAGCACTTGTACGTAATGTCAACTCTGAAGACTTATAAGCTAGCATTGAACAAAAACATTTCTATCTTTCCTTGGGGGGATTATATCTAAGATAATTTTAATAAAAAACAAAAAAAAAATGAAAATTCTACAAATTTACAATAAATCTTTATGTATACACATTTTAAAATTCCAGATAGTGATGTAAAAAAGTATAGTTTATTGTTATAAATGCTTCTTAGTTGTTATTGTAGCATCTACCAGTTTTCTGTTAATTTTCTTAAAATGTGTTTTGTAAAGAAATAAGATAAAGTAGAATATTTAGGTGAGCTAAAAATACTTCAATATACACCTAAGACACCAATAACTTGATGTAAGTGTACATTTCCAGAACAAAACAAATCATTATTAAGCAGATCTCATTTATTTTCTGTTAAACTTTGTATATGTGCCACCCTGCACCATCTTCCCAAGTCAAGAGTTTCTGATCCGCTCCACATAAACCCTTGACCGAATAGACAAAATTTGTTGGGGTTTACTATCACGCCATCTAGTTAGATTACACATTTTGAACTCTACTGACCTCGGCTATTGAGCAATGAGAGTAAACGAATTCAACAGAGATTTCGAGATAATATTGGACATTGGTAATAAATTCAATATAACTCAACTAAAAAGCTGAGACAAACCTTTAATTTGGCTATTTAATGATAAAGACGTTATCCTTGGGACTAAAAATGCTTGCTGACTTCCCAACACCTGCACCTCCTGACAGATATGCATGACTAGGTTCCTGTTTAGACTTGATCCATTGCATAACATGATTAAAGAATTCACGTTGCTTTCAATTTAAACTGGCTACAAGCTTTAAATACTCATCATCAGGTAATCTAACAAAACTCTGTTCATTTAGTTGTCTTGTTGATGGAATTCCAATATCACTTCCTATACCATACTCTCTCTGTTCAATTGGCCTTTCGGGATTAAAGAGAACAAATGTTTCAGAGTCAACATTTCCTTCATATTCATCATCTGTGTCAGTTTGTTGAGTACCAGGAGCTAACTCATCATATGCTTCTGTCAAATCATTCTGCACCATCTGTTCTGTCTGCTCAAGCATATCAGCATTGTGTTCATACTGTCTGATTTTCTGAGCTAAGAAAAAAATTTTCTGGTTAAATGACTAATCAAAGCTCTGATGTCCACACAGAAGATCAGAACATTCATTTTGCCATGAAGTGAACAGTATTAGTTTTTCCCTATAGAAAATTTCTGGGTCTGTTTTTAAGCTATGACGCACATATCTTATAACTCTTGGGGTTTTTTTTCTGCGCTTGTTTTTAATTCCATTTCTCAACACAACTAATGTGCAGTCATCTTTAAATTCACACTCAGTATCAGATCCACTATCTTCATTTCCTGACTGGTGTCTCTTATCATCATTTGTTTCCATTTCAGACAGCTCAGTTATACTTTCCTTTGGGAAAACTACATCTAACTGTGAAACATAGTCAGCTAAACACCCAGTTTTCAAGTTGTTTTGGATGTTTTGCATATCTTTTGACTATGTTACTGCATTCTATGTCTTAGGAATTAGCATTCAGTTTTTTGAGTTCTGAATCAGGTTTGACAAGTATTACACGGTCATCAACTGGAGATGGTTTTATGAACATTACATCTCTTGATGCTTTTGTAAGGGGCATTTGCAAAACTAGATATGCTGCTTCTTGTGCTCCAACTTCAACACTGTTAAGAAATTGATTTCCAATGTGTCTAACTTGTCTCTTAATGTCAAGATTGCCCTCTCTTGCTTCTTTTGCAGCTCTACTCAGCAGATCACTCATGCCCTTTGTGATTTACTTATGAATGAGACAATGTACATTGCACAAGCATATGGATCCAAAACATACTGAATATCTATGTTAGCTGCCCATGCATGAAGAAGAGTACTGTTGTAAGCACTCACTCTCAAGTCACAGGGTTTACGTTTTAAAAATACCTTGGGTGCTCTCAAAGAACTTCTGATGCATTTTATATAATCATCTTCTGATAGTTGTAGTACATTCTTCAAAAAGTCTTGGAAAGTGCAGCTTATGTCACATCCATTTTTAAAGTCATACATTTTGTCTTGCATAGTCTTATGCATTTTCTTGTATTTCTCAACGTCACTGTCCAAAGGTTCCAATATCATAGTAGCTTGGAGTGGTGGAAGTGGAAATCAAAACCTACAAACAGCCTATCCTTTTTTCTTGCATGTTTGTGAGTGTTTATGAACTTGCAGTTCTATCAAATTGTCTTCTGTATTCCTTTCACACTTCAAGTAGCTGTCAACAAATGCAACAATTTCCTTGTTATCATTTTGTAAGTACTTTGGAGCATTTTCAATCCAAACAATCATGTGAACATGTGATGATCCCCTTTGTTGAAATCAACTCTATAGAAAAAGTCCAGTATCTTGCCAATAGGATGATGATCACTCTTAAGCATAGTATTCATAAAAGTCCAAAAACGATGATCAAAATACCTTGTACATGTAACTGGGTCTTTCTGAACTAACTTTGACTATTCAATCCATGTCATGTTCTCAATTTCAGAATCTGTGTACTGTTTGTCATTATTTAAAACTCCTAGTGCTCTGATCAGATCATTCCAACGTGTATCTGCAGCAGAAAAGGACATAAACCAAGTTGGTAGACCAAGCTGTCGATTCATTGCAAAAACATCTTTCTTGTTTCAAGATAAGGAGGAGAGTTTCTCAACTGTTTGAAAACATTAAATCCCTCATTGTGTCTAACAATGTCATTAATTTGATCAGGATTTCATATTTCATTTGCAGTAAAGGTTTTCCCCTTTGTTTTGCACTTCCTAAGGGCTAAATTGCATTTGTCTGTTACCTGTTTTAATTGAATCTTTTTCAATTTGAAAAATAAATTTGGTACCGACTGTGCAGCACTATCAACACTTCGTACTTCCCACTTGGCAATATCAGCATATGAAACAGGTACTTGACGCTGATTGTTTTCTACTCTTCCTTTACCACAAAATATTGTTTGAAATGACAAATACTTGGCCAATTGATCTTGATACAAACTTTGTGGTCGTTGTCCCTCTCCTGGAGCAAATGTGAAGATCTGATTCATGTCATATGAGTCACTGTCTAGTAAAGTATCACGACTTCCATCCTTACCACTATCAACTTCACAGAATTCATCAGAGTCTGATTCATCTGATTGGTCATGCATTGCTGAATCTTGATTAGTGTGACCCTCTATAAACTCTCTCATGAAATCGCTTGCTGAATTGGTGACCTCATGGAACCAGTTGTCGTCTTTGTTTATGTTTGAATTCTGATAATATTCACTTTTTTTCATTAACCAATGTAAAACAATCAGAACCTTTGTAGGTCGTATATTTTTTTGACAATAAGAGTCTTTTTAACTTCACAGGTATGGTAATATTTTCATCAAGTCTCCTTGGTAGACTATTGATTGTTGGTTGAATGTCTACTGGCACATTTACAACATTTCCTTTTACAGAGTACTGTCCTCGTCTTGGTAATTCTCTTATCTGCATGAAGGGAATTCTTAAAGATACAAGTCTTTCTTCCAATGGTAACAGATTTAATTAACCTGGTTTTTGAATCCATGTCATTCCATTTGCAAGAGAGAGTTTTGGAGTTCGACTTTCTTTTAAACTTGAATTGCAAGTGCTGCATATCCATTCCTGCCCGATTACAGACTTTGTATTAGTAAAATACTTCCTTTTGATTTGAGCATCCA